AAAAAAAAAAAAAAAATTTCAGACACGCCAGCACTCACATACACTTCACGAACGCGCGTTTGTGTGTGTGCGTTCAATTAGAGCCATGTGGCAGCCTGTAGACGATGGATCCACTTCTCAATGGCAGTATATGTATATACCATCACGGGAAGGCTCAAGAGATGGACAAAAAAAAAAAAAAGTAATAATAAACTAAACAAGGTGAAGAAAAAAACTACATTCTACCACGCCCTGGCGTGATACTCTTTTTTTTTTCTTTTTTTTTTCTACACTATCTTTTTCCCGTTTAGTGGTGATCAAGGATACCTACGCGATGCCTATATGACGTTAATTTGACAATGCGCTTGTGAAAATTCGTCTTGCGTCTGGTGTAATTTTCGTGTATCATCGTTCAGCAGCGCGTTCGGGGTTTTCAATTCAGTTGTCCGCCCCTCCTTCCACCCGCCCCCAACACGCGCACATACGCAGATACATATATACAAACCGTGGACGCTCAATTGGACAGCCCCCTGCGCCATAGCCGCCCCTCACCGCCCCATGTGTCACCCTCCGCACATCATAAATGGGGAAGCTCGCCAAATTAAAGAGGGTCCTTCTTCTGCTCCCTCTTGTCCACATCATCCTTGCGCAGCATCATGACGCACAGGTGGGAGTCGGCTCCAAAGAAGAAAAGGTGCGTTCCTCAGGGTTGCTAAGTGGTGGAGAGGGAGACGGTGCCAACGGGGGCAACTACGAAGGAAGGTGCGTCAGCCAAAATGCTCACCCATATGTGTTAGCGAGGGACCCCTTTGGAGGCATAACCCATACGAATTTTTTCCCCAGAAAGGTGCACTACGATGAGAGGAACGACTCCCTTTTACTTCTCCTCAAGAGTGAAGACAGGAGACCGGGCGTGAAGGTATATGACCTTGGAAGACTCTCCCTTGGGGAAGACGAAACTAGAGGCAAGTACAACCCAAGTGGTGCAATAAAAATGGTAACAAATCACCTGCATGGTCAGGCAAAAATTTGGAAAAATGATCTATCCATCATTGCGCATGAATTGTTCGGAGTATCCCCTCTGGAAAAGTTCCCCGCGAAGAGGGCGGCCAGACATTTGGCAGAAGACGATGATAACGACGATAACGACGATGATGATGAGGACGACGACGGGGAAGAGGAGCAGCAGCAGGGGGAAGAAGAAGAAGAGCAGGATGATCACTACAACGAGGAGGAGGAGGAAGATGATGATGGGGAGGAGGAGGACCCTGTATATCAGTGGAAGTGGTCCCCCAAGGGAAAAAACACAAAATACCAAATCAAAGGAATGGATTCAGAAGAGGACGAGGAGGACGAAGAGGAGGAAGAGGAAGATGAGGATGAAGATTTTTCATTTCCGTTTGAGGATGCAGAATTTACGGGTGGGACCTTTGACGAAGTGAGCGACGATGTCCAAACGACAATAAAAAGGGATGGAAAAAAAGTAGAAGACAGTGATCCCATAGTTGAAACCACTGCATCTAGCAACACGAATAAAGAGTACGTGTGCGATTTTGACAAAACCATATCTCTGAAGGAGAAGCAAGGCAAGGTAGTGATCTGCGAAATGCAAATTCAAGAACCCCTCGTCAAGGTCAAGATTGTGTGTCCAACGAAATATGCTGACATAGATAATCCTGATTCCGTAGGTTTAATACCCAAGAAAGCTCCATATGTTACTTTGGTGAATGAAAAGGAAGATTCTAAAACTGATGTAGATTTGTTGAAGGAGAAAAAGCTAGCTTCCCTAATTCATGGGGTTCTAATAGATCCCAAAAAGAATGAAAAGGTAGCCGATGCAGAAAAGCAAGTCATTGAATTCATCCTACCTCCTGTAGTGAAAGAAAAGAAAAAAATATATTACATCTGTGATAGTAACAAGGCAAGTGTTGATGATACGAGTATCAGTGGGGGGAGGGGAGTCGTTTCTATTTCGGTTGAACCGTATGGTAAAACTGTTAAGGGATGCAACTACGGTGGAAAGGAGAAAAACTTTTTCACGTACGATTATGAGGAAGATAAAGACATGAAACATCCATGTGTGTTTCAACTAAACGCTGGGGAGATAGGAGGTATCATGTTTCCTGAGGGAACAGAAGCGACTACTTGTTTTGACCAAATGATTCCTCACTCTGCAAATAAAGTGTGGGACAAGGAAAAAAAAGATTTGAAAGAAATTGTAAACGGGGCAGTCATATACAATAATGAATTCAAGGCCAAGTATTTCAGCGTCAAGTACTTTAGTATTCCACAGAGCTTCCAAGAGGTCACACACTTATTTTGCCATATCCATTTAAAAGATGAAGGTAAAAAACATATGGTTTACATTAGCATCAATCAGGAGTTGAACCTGTCCGTGTTTGACCTATATGATTCATTTTCTAATGTGAATAAAGTAATACAAATAGCTAAACAAACAGAGGAGAAGAAAGAGTACACGTGTGATTTTACAGACCAGCTAGACAAGCAAGAAGATTCAGCTGAAAAAAAAGTGATCATATGTAGAAAAAGGCTAACTGAATTTGATACCTTTAATATGAAGTGTGGAATCAATAAGACTAAATATGAGCATCTAGAAATGATTCCAAAAACGCTAAAGGAAGAAAAGACGAAAAAAAAAAATGTTCTAAAAGTACAACTAGATGTACAATACGAATTATTTAAAAAATATTTTCAATTTCATGAGAAGAATGGAAAGTACCTCCCTAATTATCCTTCGTTCCTAACTTTTCCTCTAAACCGAGTAGCCAAATTAGAATTGAAAAATAATTCCATTTTCAAAAATCACAAAGACTCTTCCTACTTTGATGAAGTTACGACCTCATCTGAGGCGCTGGTCAAATTGCTCTCCTACTTGGATGCACAAGACACCGTTGTGTTAAATGAACAAATTGCTAACCTACAGATAAGTGATGACCAATCTACAGCAGACATTTTAGATGTAAAATTTCAAATACCTGCCTACATTGATACAAATGAACCTTTATATTTCCTCATGGGATGTAATAACACCAAGGATGGAGGAAATTTAGGAATCGTGGAGTTGGTCTTGGCCAAGAGCGAACACATTGTTAAGGGATGCAACTTTTCAGATGTTGAAATGAAGCATTTCACAAACAACGTGGGGTCTACGGGTGACAAGTGTAATATTGTAGCTTACCCAAATGATATAGTTGGGTTCAACTGTTCCAAGACACACGTGTCAGGGTCAGACGAGGCGGAAGGCGCTGATGAAACTAACGTGGTTATTGAACCGGAAGGATGCTTCACACAAGTTTATAAGAGTGATATGGAAAAGACAGAAATTGTTAGCATCCTCCCAGGAGTTTTACTCTACTCAAGTGGGAAAAAAAAAAATATGGCGTTTATAAAAATACCCTCAGTTTTACTTACATCTGATATTAAGTTTTCCTGCAAATGCAAATTAGAATCTGTGGAAAACGAAATTGAGGTGAATGTTCTTCAGACAAGAGCAAAGGACAATGTAAGTATCGTGGAGGTGAAGAAAGAAGCAACGACCAGTGGAGAAGAAAAGGATCAGTGGGGTGATGGAAAAGTATACAAATGTCCAAATAAAACTCTCATTGAACCCAAATTGGAAAAGCTAGATGATCGATATGAGCAGAATACATGTCAGGTAGATGTGAAAGAAATGCACAGCTATGTTGAGATTTTCTGCCCCTCTAAAGATTTCTCCATTCATCATAATATTAACATGTCCTACACAACGGTGAAGCCAAACAAAGAAGACACTTCAAAACCATTTAACCAAGAGGCGCTGCACGGACTGATCCCCCACGCAGAAATGTTACACAAGACGAGAAACATCCTCGTCCTACAGAGTAGTACAAATGAAAAGGAAAATGTAGACCTGTCTCACATTTATTTATTTTTTCCATACTATATTAAAAGTGAACACGAGTTCAATATAGTCTGTGATAATAGTGACACACTTTTTGAAGAGAAGAAGGGAGGCTTATTAACATATAAGATTAAGGTTCCTAAGAGGAGTAAAAAAATTAAAGGTTGTGATTTCACTTCACCCAAATCAGACATATTCCAAAACGATGCTACAGGAAATAATTGCTCGGTAGATGCAATGCCGAAAGATGTAATTGGGTTCACGTGTCCCCCGAACACAATTAAAATAACTAGCTGCTTCAAAGATGCAGTGGTCGATAATAACCTGACAAACATTTTAGAAACTCTTGAGCTGACTGATAATATGGCTAGCTACACACACAGTCACAAATTGAATTATATTGAAATACCAAGTGTTGTGAGCAAAGATCTGTCGTTCAAATGTATGTGTGTACTTTTGAAGAAGGAGTACACGTTGACGTCTCCGCCGAGTGCAAAGCTATTGGATACCATTTATGAAAAGCTAAACATAAAGAAAGGCGATGGGTATAACAAGGTATATACAAAGAATAAATTCCTAATGAGTAGTCTACACCCATACTTGTCTCACAAGAAAAACAAAGTGATTAGTATTTTCCACAAGATTGATGAGAAGAACCCTTCTGAGGAAGATCAGAACCCAGAAGAAATAATTAAGCAGGTAGCTGATGCAGAAACGTATGATGATGCAGTGGGTTCTACTACTTATACCCTTTCACAAATAAAAGACAACTACATATCTGGGGAAGAGTACTCTGTGTACACTAATGTAAATGATAACGCTTTGGAAGAAACAATAATGCAGGATATATCGTCGCTGAGCGAATCTGATTTTACGCTATACACACTGAAGGTTAATTTGAAGGCACCCAAACTGCTGAAGCCGAGGAAGATCAGCGACAACGAGTATGTGTGTGATTTTTCAAGAAGGAGTTTGATCGTACCGGAACCTTTAACTGAGGTGTCCCCACCCGACATTCACTGCCACAGTGTGCTCAAGCCACTAGACACATTGTATGTGAAGTGCCCAACGGAGAAAGCAATATACGCCATTGCTAAGACAAAAACAGGAGAAGCAGATGAAGAGGAAGAGAAGGGAATCATTTCCATCCTCGACGATACTGTGAGAGAAGCTGAGGACCTCACTTCCTCCCCCCTGGACGATGCCTCTTTTGTTAAATACTTCTCAAACATTAGTATGCATCCAGTTGGGTTTTTTAAGAAGATTTTAAATGAAGATGGAGACAAGGAAGAAGATTTAGATCGAGTTTTACCTGGTGCAGCTTACACTTCTATGAAGGTGTTGATGAAAAAGAACCCCTTCACTTCCTACGCTGCTATCATTGTACCACCTACCATATCTCGTAACACATTCTTTAAGGTGCAGTGCAACAATAATGAATATAAAGAGGGAAACAAGCATGGCGGCTACAAAGGAATCATTCACGTAGATATTGCTAGAACTGAGAAAAAAACTTTAGGTTGTGATTTCACTTCTCCAAGTAGCAGTATTTTGACCAAGGGAGTTTTTCTTCCTAATAATAAAGAAACAGAGTGTGAAGTGGAGATTACAAAAAATGACATTTTCGGAATTAGATGCAGTGATGATTCTACTTTTGAGCCAGCCAAATGCTTTGAACAAATTCATAATAAAAAAAAAGAGACTAAAGAGATTAAAGAACTCATTCCAAATGTTAAGGTATTTACATTACCTAACTCAAAGACAAAAGTTTCTTATGGAAAAATCCCATTGGACCATGTGAATAAGATAAATTTTTCTTGCTCTTGTACAAAACCTGATGGTAAAACTAAAGGAACTATGAAGGTGGTGGTGAACAAGGATGAAATGTCATTGGAGGATATGAAACTTGTAGATGCAGTGAAACATGACAAGGTAAACTTTTGTAACTTCTTCGATGATGAAGCGCTCAATTTTAAACAGAACCCAGAAAAAATTGTTCAATGTAAAGTAGATGCAGATTTGTTTTCCGAGGTGGTTGTGATTCTGCCCCAGATGGGAAGTACCAGCGACGAAGCGGATTACAAAAATTATTCTATTACCCCATCCCTAGATGAAGAGGAAGACATGAAAGTCATCATCGATGAGAAAACTCAAGTGTCTCTATCCACTGCTCTGAAGGGAGTGTACGGGAATAGAATCTTTTCATTCGAGAAAAACTCGAAAAAGGGAATCGGGTTCAGCTTCTTTATCCCTCCTACCTTTGAAAATAAAAATTTCAAATTTGTCATTAACGAGACGGAGGTACCTGGCACCAGTAGCACACAGAAAGGAATCATCTTTATCGTCGTTAGGAAAAATATGGAGCCTGGTTCTGCGAAGATATGTGATTTTACATCTAGTGAAAACTCTCTAGCTGAGTTAGACCACACCAATAATGAAAAGGTATGCAGTGTGAAGATAGCCAAAGGAGATGTATTCGGAATTACGTGTCCTAAGGGGTTCTACCTGTACCCAGAGGCTTGCTTCTCGAACGTTACTCTGGACTATTACAAAGGGGAGCTTCACATGGGAGACGAGGACGCAGAAGGACATGATCATGAAGATATAAACTTTGCTGAGAGGACAAAAAGTAATATGCCCATAAAAGATTTGCTACATCTAATTGGGGAGGATGATACAGAAATGGCTGACTTGCAGAAATTTTCAGAATTTTCAAATATCACTGAAATGCTTAATTTTGAGACATTCCATTTGGGTTCTATGCATTTAGATTTTAAAAAAAACTACACCTCTTCCTATGCCAAGGTCCCACACAAATTTAGAAGCGCCATTAAATTTTCATGCAGTTGTTACAATCCTCAGAAGAAGGTATTTGGCACCATGGATGTTGAAACGGAATATGCATCTTCTGATGAGGAGCCTCAAATGCAGGAAGACCCGTTTGTACGAAATAAGCTTCTCCCCTTGAGAAGTAAAATTAGTGTAGATGCAGATGAAGTAGAACCCATGGTGGAGGTGGATACTATTGACGATGCAGAGGTGGTAGGGTCAGACGGATGTAGAGAAGATGAAGATGGATCATGTAGTAATATGCTCTCACAAGGAATCAGCTACACATGTGACTTCTCTCAAGAATCACTCTTCACCCTCATCGAGGGAAAGGTCCAAAGGAATACATGCACAGTAGATGCAAGAGCGTTAGATGTGGTTACTATAAAATGTCCAGCTATACCTGACCACGTGCATAAGGAAAATACAATGACTGAAATGAAAGAGACGGAAAAGGTAATCATCACGATAAATGACAAACAGTTTGTGACCTACCAAGAGGAGAAGACAAAGAATAAAACATTTTCCTTAAAAGAAATTTATGACCAGGCGTACTACGGTATGAGTAGTGAAGAAGCGATAGGTATGAGAAAGTTAGATGCAGGATGGGATAAACATGAGGTGTATTATCCAAAACGGGTTCTAGACCATGTAGTGGTAGCAAGTAAGATAACCAAATTGGAACATGCATTACCAGGAGTGGTATATTTGCAAAGTAAAGTGAATAATGAATTGAAGACAACTGAATTGATAAGTGACGGTGTAGTCCGCTTCCTCGTACCACCATATGTAAAAAATGATTTCCAGTTCCACGTATTCTGTGGCAAATCCTCTGAAAAAAACCCACAAGGGAAAAATACTTCCCTCGGAGTGATACGTGTAAATGTGTCCGCTTATAAGAAAGAACTGCAGGGATGTGATTTTATAAATGAAAAGGATGATGATGGCAAATTGGTTATATTTACTAATAAAAGAGAAAAAACAAATGAATCCATTTGTTCAATGTCCCTCATCCCTAACACTGCGGTGGGTATAAATTGCCCATCAGGAAAACTGCTACCAGACAACTGTTTCCATGAGACTTACTTTGCCGCTGAATCTGAAGCAGGAACAACAGCTAGCCAGATGAGTAGTCTACCCAAGGAAAAAATTACAAACATTATTAAAGGAGCTATCCCTGTGTCAAATTCTTTAAATAAAAAAAATACATATACCTATCTCCTTCTTCCAAAGGATATGAAAAGTTTGGAAAAGCTGAACAAGAATTTTTACTGCACTTGTGATGAAGGAATAATAAAAATGAGAATAGATGAAATATATTTGAAGAGAGAAAAGGAGAACAGGATTGTTAATGACACTTGTTCATATGACAGTGTGAAAAATGCTACAATATGTAACGTTGTAGAATTCATGGAAGGTCTTGAACAGAAAAATAATAAGACAAATCATTATGTAGTAAATTTGTACAGGTGGGATAAACTGATTATAAAATACCCAACCCATGAAAAGGAGAATTATAAAAAAATATTTATGAACCCAATTAACCTAAAAGACAAGGTACTGTATAAAAAGATCCCTACACCCATTGAGCAAATTTTACCTGGGGCTATTACTACTAGTAAATTAGATGCAAGGACAAAAATTATTGAACATACCTTGAGGGTTCCTCCTTTTGTTTCAAAAGAGGTTCATTTTGCCATGGAGTTCAACAACTCCTTAACTTCTAAAATGATTAATTATAATTATGCATATGGAGGTATTGTGAAAATATGTATTAACGTTCGAGAAGGGTATAGTGAAATTAGTGGTTGTGATTTCACTGGTAAGTACAGCCACCTCTTCAGTCATAACTTTGATTCGAATTTGAAGGAAAGTAAAACTTGTTCCATTACCTTTGGAAATAATAGCTATGCTGGTTTTGCTTGTCCTAGAAAATTTGAAGTCATTCCGAACAACTGCTTTGCATCTGTGTATGACAATAATGATGATATGAAAGTGAAGAAGTTAGTTGACTTGTCGGAGGAAGCTGAAACCGATTTCGTTCAGTACAACGCTCGTGGGGTCAGCCTATCTTATGTCACCTTTAAGAAGGATACTAAGGGCCACGTCGTCTCTTGCAAGTGCGTCTCCAATGAAGTCACCCACACCATCAACCTCACCTTCGAGCCTGACTCGGACAATTCCCTCCCCAAGACCAGAATTCGCATAAGGTACTTTGACTTGAGCAAGGCGTCCTTCAGTTCGCACCTGCGCGGCGGCTGAACGGGGGGGGGGGGAGCCCAGAGCAAACAACCGTGACGAAGCGATGATGAAGCGAAGCGGAATGGCAGCCAACCCCACCTATTGCGGCTCTCGCAGGGGGGTGCAACTCCCATACGATAAGCTCCACGCAACCGTAACCGAGGCGGTGAGCAGACACGTTTGCCCAGTCGACCCGCTCCCCATCAAGTGGCACCCCACAACCCATTTTTAAATGGCCCCTTTCAACAATTCTTGCCCAGAACAACACACTTTTTTTTTTTTAATGGGCTCCTTTTTGCACATCATTAACTTTTTCACCCCGGATTAATCACATTTTATTTTATTATATTATATTTTTTTGTATAGCTCTTTCGCATTTGGCTTGCACACACCTTTATGGTGCTGCCACTGGTTGTTTCTTTGGAAGTGAGTCTAATGGTTAGCTAAGTGACCAGACCAGGTGTGACTTGCGCGTCACCCCCTTTTCCCTCCTCGAGCTCCTTTCATAGGTTTTCATTTGGCCGTTCAAAATGAAACGGGTTTGAAAAGGTGCAAATGCCTGACCACTGGATTAAACACACATGGCCTGCTGAAACCTATATGTGTTTGTGCAAAATGACTTTGAGGCAATGGGAAGGAGAAAAAAAATATATATATCGTACGTCAATCGAGGTCTCCGGTGATGTATGTTGTTTCCCGCCCAACGGCGCGAGGTATTTCACTGGGGGGCCGCCTCTCTTTCCCAGGAAGCGAAAAAAAAAAAAAAAAAAAAAAAAAAACAGTTCGGTCTAATTGTGCATGGGTGGGTTGACTATTGTGTGTTCATGTGGGTTTACTCGCGCGCGGAAAAAAAAAAAAAAAAAAAAAAAAAAAAAAAAAAAACGAGACTGCATAAAATGGGAGAATGAATTAAAGGGGGGAAGGGAATTTTCCCCGCAATTTGACAAAGACACTGCCCTCGGGGGAGGGGACCTCCATGTGGACATGGAAAAAAAAATATAAAAAAAATAAATTGCAAATTCGGAAAACAAACGAGGGGTAGAGGGAGCAGAGTGACAAAACGCTCATGCAGAGAGAGGGGCGGAACGACGCGCAGCGAAGTGAGAAGCAAAGGAAAGGGATGACTCGTGGTGAACGAAGCCACCGCGCCTCACTTCACTTCGCTCGTTTGCTTCTCACATCGCTTCACTTCGTTCCGCTTCGCACCGCTTCACCACGTTAGAGGTACCTGGATCGCATGTAGTTGTTGGCGAGTTTATGCGCGAGGCGTTTAATCTCGTAGAATTTTTCATCAAACAGGTAGTCGCGGGTGGCCTTGGCGATGAGATCAAAATCCCGTATGTCCTGGCTGTCAATGTTGATGTCCCCTATGTTGGGCACGTTAAATCTGAAATAAGTATTTTCCCTGTCGGAGAGCCACTGTAGCACCTCACGGTGTGTTTCATTTGCTCTGGTTAGCAGGTGACCTGAATTAAGAATTATTTCAAATGTAGATGCAGATTTTCCGCTAGCTCCTGACTGAGTTAATTTGGTTGGAGACTTTCCTGTCCCTATTGAAACTAGAGTATCTAGCTCCTCTTTAATAAAGGAGGAGAGATTTTTATTATTCAATCTAGCACATTCTTCCAATGCGATAAGAGCAGGGTTGCTTGCCTTCAAGGCTCCATCGACCAGATGTATTTCTGGCTTCACATGAATACCCAGATCTTTAATATCTTCAGAACTGGGTCCTTTTAAATATGTTGGTGCTGATGCAGTTGCCCAGGCAGCTAGCCATAAAGGAAACTTATTAATCCCTTCATAAGCTTCTCCACTTATGGCGTTATACTTATGAGTATAATTCCTCAACAGGAACAACTTATACGGATTGTGCTTCACATCTGTTGCCGTCACAAAGCAATATACCTTCTTATGTGAAGACATAAACATGCTACCCAGTTTTTCCATAAACAAATCCTTCACATTGTTAATGTCGTAACCTTCAAATAAAATTCCTGAAATGAGATTTCTGTTTCCTTCGAATATTTTTTGCATGGTACTTGGTAACAGGTTGGTGATGTCTCGGAGCTCCATCTCTTTTAACAGGGCCAGGGAAATCAACCCTCCTGCACTCGTTCCGCAGACCATGTCAAAACAGTCGATCAGCTTCACGTCGTCGTTTCCTATCTCCTTTCTTATTTCATTTTCAATTCTGTTCAACACGATCAGGGTAGACATGGCCAGGATTCCTCCTCCGTCCAGGGACAGTATGGACACGCTGCGGGGGGGGGAAGCAGTGGAGTGAAGCGAAGTGAAGCGGAGCGAAGCGCAGCCTTATCCACTGCGCGGTGATTGAGCGATTATTGAGCGGCGACTGTGTAGGGACAGCGCTGAGCAAACTTCCGTCCAACCCGTTCTCACTCAACGCTTTCGCGTTAACACGCTCGCTCAACTTGATCGCCCCTCCACTTACGGTTTTCTAAACGGCGTGTAGGGGTCATGCGGGATCTGGTTGTACTTGCCGCAGTAGAGTATCCCGTAGCGGCACTCGATGGTCATGCCGAGGGACATAGAAGTGCTCACATTCAAGTGTAGCATGCTGTTGACACTTTGATTGTACAGGTAAACGTATTTCTTTTTTTTCGAGGGAACCCTAATCTGATTTTCATTGTGAAAAGTGCAAGTAAAATTTTCCGTGTTGATTTTATTTTCTTCAAACAAAATACTCTCCTCCTTCCTCCTATTCTTCACTCTTAAATTATCGTAGTAGTTTTTTTTAATACCCTTAAGGTTACTTTTGTCCTTTTTATTCTTCCTTTCTTTGGACCCTTCAAATAAAATATCTGTGTTACCAAAATTATAATTACAGATTTTGTTAATTTCTTCATTTAGGTCTGAGTTGTCTAGTAGCATCGGGTCTCTCTTCAGATTCATGTCATCGTGTTCCTCTTCATCGTGTTCATCTTCATCGTGTTCATGTTCCGCTTCCTCTTCTTCCTCTTCTTCCTCTTCCTCCTCTTCTTCCTCCACATGTACACCTACATCATCTTCTTCTTCCTCCTCCTTTTGGTTATGTGAAGGGTGTTTCTTCCTCTGTTGGTTTTTATGTAGAATCACTTTTTTGTTATGGGGCTCTGCCTTCCCTTGGGTGTCTTTGCCTACGTTCTGCGAGATCAGTTTGTAATTCAGCTCCACCTGCATCTTCGACAGCCCAAAGTAGATGCTGTCCCATTTGCTCTGCAAGAAGGGGGGGACCACAACGAATAAGTGAGTGAACGCATGAACGAACGGATGAAGTCATAGACGAGGTGAAACAGCGCAGTGAGTAGGACAACGCACACACACACGCTTCCCCCCTTTTCACTCCTCCCACTTACATTGTTATTGTTCTCCACGTAGATGCAGTAGAACCCAGGCTTGCGTAATTGAACGGAGTGCTTATTCTCGTTGAGCTCCCCATCGAAGATATTCAACGTGTGTTCCTTGTTCTGTGGAAATTGTAAAAAGTCATGCTGCAAAGACGCATTAATCACTTGAGGATTATAACATTTTATGGGTTCAGCATCAAAGTAATTATTTAAAATGGTTGAATTTTCTGCCCTCAGCTTGCTATATTCATTTTCTCCATTCTTTAAATTATTATCATTAATTTTTTTTTTTTTTTTTTTATTCTTCTTCTTTTCCCGTTCTTCTTCTGCATCGCTGTTCTCTTCACCACTCAGACCATGCGAAAAAATATCAGAATACATATAGATGCGTTCCTCCTCATCTTTCATCCTTTCGGTATATTCAGTCAGCGATTTTCAAGTGGGAAATGTCCAATATGCAAAAAAATATTATATCACATGTGGATGCGCGGACAACACCCCTTTTTTTTTTTTTTTTTTTTTTACTCCGCTTTTTTGTGCCCGTTTTTGGAGCCTCTCTGGTAAGGAGGTAGCAAAACTGGACTTTGATCAGGTTGTTCTACCTAGGGGGCGTGTCACATCAGGTATATATAAAAAAACAGCGCAACTTTTGCACAGGGGGTTCTCTTTTGAAGAGGGGTGGGGGGGGGTGGTTTAGGGTGTTTTTCCTCACCTCTCACTGGATCATAACTTTTGTTTAATCAAAACGACATCAAATGTGGTTGTGGAACTTTTGTTTTAGCTTCACTTTGCACTAAGGTTATTTGTTTCCCTTTTTTTTTTTTTGCCCTGTTTTTCTCCTCCTTTTTTTATATGTTTGCTTGGCGAACAGCGAGACTTGCTTCAAGAGACATACAAAAACAAAACTGTCACGTTGGGTCAACTTTCGCATCGATCAGATTTATACATAGAGAGTAATCGTCCAGGGGGGGGCAGGGTGGAAAAAAAAAAAAAGGGTTGCAAATGTTGTGCTGGTATTATATATAAACGACGAAAAAAAAAAAGGGGGGGGGGGGGGGGGAAGAGTCCTATCATGAGATTTCACTCTTCTGCGGTTAGAGACGAGCAACCTGGGTTATGAGTTGGGAAGAAAAAAGAAAGACGACGAGAAAGAGGAAAAAAAAAAAAAAAAATGATCAAACCGTCGGCGAATTTAATATGCGAAATGGAAGCAACGTAAAAACAGCGACGTGGCAAAAAAAATCAGCAGGGGAAAATGCCTCGAAGCTCGCGCAAGCAAACCTTGGAACAATTGCGAAGAAGTGAAAAAAAAAAAAAAAAAAAAAAAAAAAGTGCCACTTTCTTCCTTTTGTGCGCCAACTCGCCTAATATATATTAGCAGTGCGTTCCCAATGTGACTGAACAGGGCGCCTACAAACATGTTGCGTCAGCACGCATATAAAATTGTCATACCCGCCCCGTAGGACCTGCCATATCGCTTCCTTTTATATATATATATATATATATATATATATATATATATACATCAACATATTGGACTCATCCATGGGGAGGTGCCACAAGGGGGAAACATGTCAATGGTACGGAAACTCCCGTCCTTTCACAAGAGGAGATGGTCCCAGCCAGTACGCATCATCCTGATCCTGCGAATTCATACTTTACTAGCAACAAGTCAACCTTAGCGCATGGCCAGTTCGCGTCCTAACAACATATACATATCACCCCTTTCTTGTGAGAAGCCTCTCCTCTGGGCGAATGCGCGCGGGGTTGGGGGCCTCGCCAAACCAACATCACCAGGAAGTGCGAAAAAAGAAAAGGAAAAAAAAAAAAAAAAAAAAACCTCATCATTGTGCCTTTCGTTCACATGAGTAAAACGAAAATATAGCATTTAATTCAATTACGCAAGCAGACGCATCTCCCTACGCAAAGGCCATGTGCGACATCGGCATGGAAGAAGGGCCAACCTATTTTATGTGGTATGTTCTCTTCATCATTTTGTCAATTTTGTATGAGGCAAAATTTGGAGTCATATGTTGACTGGTGTGTTCTATACAAATAAAAACAAAAAAAAAAAAATGATTCTTTGCTGAATTCAGCAAGTTGGACAACCGAATTGGGGCAATACCCCTGCGACGTCTTATTATTAAAAAGCGACAGGTCCGGGGCGGGGGGGCAGCGGAAGAGCAGTGGGTTTAGTTTGCTTCTGGCCTTTCTCCCTAGGTGCACGAAATTTCATGCTTCTTCGCCATGTAGTTTTTTAGTACTGTCTTTATTTCGCACCCCAGGGACCTGCATGCGCATTCGGCGTAGCTGATGATCTGCACGGAGGGGAGGGAAGGTTGCGGTGGGTGTGCATTGGGCGAGTTTATACACATGTAAGGGGATGCGGAATAACCCCTCTCAATTTGTAATCAAAAAAGGATGACGCGGTGGTGAGCATTGGTACGATGACACCCTCGCGCAGGTTTCACGCGTAGGTGCATGAAGAGGTTCACGAAGAGGTGCACGTAGAGTGCGCCCGGAATGCGCTGCCTACCTCGGACAACGTTTTGCTGTTAAAGGAGTTCCCGGATCCATGAAAGAAGCACACTGTTCTGAGGTTCAGACAGATCCCCAGGGTTATACTGTTCGTGTCGTATTTCCCCCCGTAGTACTTTTCCTCCTGCATAGGGAAACAGCGTTGTGCACACATGGAGAAGAGGTTTAAAGAGTTGGGCGCCCGCCCAACACGTTTACCATATATGCCGCGCACACAGGAACGGAAGGAGTCTTTCCCCTTTCAAATGTGTACCAAACTGTCCACGTCCACAAGATGAAACATTCTCTTCGTGTTTGGGCAAATGATCGAATTCTTGCAAAAAAAAAAAAAAAAAAAAGAATCATATTATCGTTAAGTCAATAAACATAGTAGTGTATGTCCATATATTTGGTACTTCCCCTTTTTTTTTTTTTTTTTTTTTTTCATCTTACCACATTTACGGAAACGATAATGTCCCGCATTTTAATTTGGGCATTGATTAATGCAAGCGATATGCATGTCAGGGTGGCACTCAGACAGCCTTAAAGGTTGGTAGAAGATAAAGATGGGAGGGGAGGTGAGATGGTGGAATAGGTGGGCCGTTTATATTTGTAGAATAATGGGTTAAGGAGATGCATTTGCTTGACCTCCCCACGCACATATGGTGACTTTTGCCCACAAGTGGACACGTGAAACAACAACTACTTCGCGCGTCTCCAAATTACCTCCATCGTTCTGAATGATTAGACACTTTATGTTAATGGAACACTGTGGGTACTGGTCCAGCAGAATAACGCTCGAAACGCATTCTAGTAACAGGTTTTTTATATTTTCATCGCTCTGTAATGGAAAGGGGAGGGGAAAAAAAAAAAGTGAAAATTAGCTAGCTAATGTACGTTAGACCAAACAAAAACTTATGAACGTTCATACAAAATGGTAGATTAGAAAAAAAAAAAAAAAAAATGCAAATTAGCTAGCTGGTGTACGTTAGACTGCACAAAAACGCTTAAATGGTCGCGTGAATTATTTCACAAAATGGGCTGCAACAAAAAAATACCTCGTCGTTGGCCCCATGGTCATTCATATTCAAACTTTTTATTTCCAAAAAAACCTTCCCCTTGTCGTAAGTTGCATTCTTGGAGTCCGGTTTCGGTCCATATCTTCGAAATGGAAATGGTGGAGAAAGGTGTAGAAGAGGCAGCATACAAGTGCGCAGCGAACATGTGTACAGACAAAACTGCTAGCACACCATGAATTGCACAAAAATTTACATGAGTGCCAATATTTTGGTGTTTCCCAGGGAGTAAAAACAGGACGCGTCAGAATATCCATCGGCCCCCAGTTTTATGACTGAATAAAAAAAAAAGGGGTAGAGGAGGAGGGGTTGAATAATATGCGGAAAAATTCATTACAGTTTAGCACACCCTTCTGTGGTGCGTGGTAAGCTATCTTCACGATGTTTCCTTATTTTAAGAGCATGGTGTGGTTTAAGTCATCTCCTAACTCATAGCATGTATACAGAAATTAACTTACACATATCCCTGATTTCATTGTTCTTGCGGTTGTTTATTCTTCTGAAGGTGCCACTCCTGCGGAACTCCTCGTCGATTTTCTCTATTTTGCTTTTGAAATTGTACGGAGGGAGGGGGGCCCTATACTTCGACATTTCCTTACGACAGTGTTGTTTTGGGTTCAGGGGGGGTGGGGAATAACTTCAGCAGTGGTACCCTTTGGTGATTCTCACTTGGGGGGAGAATTGCGATTTTTTTTTTTTTTTACGAATCGCTGCGTAATTTGTCATTGTAGTGGCGATTATATAGGGCTGCCGTTCGGAGTGTTGACGCGGGTGAGCGCGGTTGTTTGGGTAGTACGTATGTTTTCTATGCACGTTTTAATATGTTTGTATTTTTGTGCGCACGTTCTCACCCAAGTTTATTCGTTTGCCCCTCCTGCTTCATATTTTATTTTATCATATTTTATTATATTTTTATATTTTTTTTTTTTTTTGTGCACAAACGTGGCTAAATCGCCTGACCTGTTCATATTTTCTCCGTGCCAGTGGTAATACCTGCTGAGATTTGCAACATTTTTCCAACTGCGCGATCCAACTTAGCAGACCTATCCGCAGTGCAGCATTGGTATGTGAGAAATGGGAACACCTGGCGTCATGCGACTATTTTATGTGTTTGCTGTTTTGCTTGCCTTTTCTGCGAAAACGAGTTTCTAACTCTCCGTTGGGTGATTATCCATCCGGGTGTTCACACTCGTATACACCCCCCGTTACTATTTTGTGTTTTTTTTTTTTTTTTTTTTTTTTTAGTGGTGGGTGTGGGTTTTTATGGGAAGGCTTGTTTTTTTTTTTTTTTTTTTTTTTTTTTTTTTTTTTTTT